TCTTTCTATTTTTAGTAGAGATGGGGTCTCGCTCTTGCTCAGGCTGGTTTTGAACTGCTGAGCTCAAACAATCCGCCCGCCTCGGCCTCCCAGAGTGCTAGGATTATAGGCGTGAGCCACTGCGCCCGGCCTGTTCAGTCTCTTTTTAATTGTTTTTCTCCACGCCTATTGTTCTCGTGTGTCAACTTTATTTTCTTTTTTGCCTTCTTGCATTTCTCTTTTCTAAATCCCTACTCTTGTTGAGAAAGTAGAAGAAAGCAAAAAATGCTCTTATAACTCAGAAAGCTAGCCCAATTTTAAAAGTTTCACCTCACGCTTTTCCCATCTTGGATCTGACCAGTTAAATCAATCTCGATAGGGTAATTAAAAAAAATGGTTAGTTTTAATAGAGGAAATGCTTCAGGACATAAGTCTGGGAGGAGATTTTATGAATAAGACCTCAGAGCACAACCAACAAAAGCAAAAATAAACAAATGGGATTATATCAAACTAAAAAGCTTAGGTACAGCAAAGGAAACAATCAGCAGAGTAAAAAGACAACCTACAGAATGGGGAGAAAATATTAGCAAACTACTCATCGGACAGAGGATTAATATCCAGAATATATAAGGAAGTCGAACATCTCTACAACAACAACAAAAAAACAAACAATCCAATTAAAAACGGGTAAATGGCCGGGCATGGTATCACACTCCTGTAGTCCCAGCTACTTGGGAGATGGAAGCGGGAAGATCACTTGAACCCAGGAGTTCAAGGCTGCAGTGAGTTATGATTGTGCCATTGCACTCCAGCTAGGGACGGAGCGAGACCTATCGTTAAAAAAAAAGAAAAGGGCAGATGATCTGAACAGATATTCCTCAAAAGAAGACATACAAATGGCCAAGAAATATATATATAAAAATACACAACATCAGGGAAACGCAGGACGGGAGTGGTGGCTCACGCCTGTAATCCTAGCTCGCTGGGAGGCCGAGGCGGGTGGATTGTTTGAGCTCAGGAGTTCAAAACCAGCCTGAGCAAGAGCAAGACCCCGTCTCTATTAAAAATAGACAGAAATTAATTGGACAACTAAAAATATATAGAAAAAATTAGCCGGGCATGGTGGCTCATGCCTGTAGTCCCAGCTACTTGGGAGGCTGAGGCAGGAGGATCACTTGAGCCCAGGAGTTTGAGGTTGCTGTGAGCTAGGCTGACGCCATGGCACTCTAGCTGGGGCAACACAGTGAAACTCTGTCTCAAAAAAAAAAAAAAAAGGGAAACGCAAATCAAAGCCACAATGAGGTATCATCTCACCCCAGTTAACACGGCTATTACAAAAAAACAAAAAATAAATGCTGCGAGGATGCAGAGAAAATAGAATTCTTATACACTCTGTTGGTGGGAATGTAACCTAATACAGCCACTATGGAGAACAGTAAGGAGGTTCCTCAAAAAATGACAAATAGAACTACCATAGGCCCAGCAATCCCACTACTTGGAATTTATCCAAAGAAAGGGAAATATTATATCGAAGAGACATCTGCACCCCCACATTTTTTGCAGCACTGTTCACAACAGCCAAGATATGGACTCAACCTAGATGTCCAACAACATATGAATGGATAAAGAAAATGTGGTATATACACAAAATGGCATACTATTCAGCCATAAAAAACGAATGAAATCCTGTCATTTGTGGCAACACGCATGGAACTGGAGGGCATTATGTTAAGTGAAATAAGCCAGGAACAGAAAGATAACACTGCATATTCTCACTTGTATGTGAAAGCTAAAAACAGTCCATCTCATAGAGGTAAAAAGTAGAACAGAATGGAAGATATAGAGGCTGAGAAGGGTAGGAGGAAGGGAGGGACAGGGAGAGATTTGTTAAAGGATACAAAATTACAGCTAGGTAAGAGAAATAAATTCTATCTAGCTGTCCTTAACCTTTTTGGCACCAGGGACCAGTTTTATGGAAGACAATTTTTCTGCGGATGGGGGTGCATGGGCAGGAGGAGCTCAGGTGGTGATGGGAGTGGCTGTAAATACAGATGAAGCTTCCCTTGCTCACCCACCACTCACCTCCTGCTGTGCACTCGCCCTCACCCCTGCTAAGTTCCGTGGAAGACGATTTTACCACAGATGGGGGAGGGGTGTGGGGCAGCAGAGCTCTGTGGCCCAAGGGTTGGGGACTACAGTTTTATACCACTGTAGGACGACTATAATTGATAATAGGATATTATATAGATTCAAATATTTGGAAGAAGGATACTGTTCTAGGCCGGCGCGGTGGCTCACGCCTGTAATCCTAGCACTCTGGGAGGCCGAGGTGGGTGGATCACTCAAGTTCAGGAGTTTGAGACCAGCCTGAGCAAGAGCGAGACCCCCGTCTCTAGTGAAAAATAGAAAGAAATGATCTGGACAACTAAAAACATATATAGAAAAAATTAGCCGGGCATGGTGGTGCATGCCTGTCGTCCAAGCTACTTGGGAGGCTGAGGCAGTAGGATCGCTTGAGCCCAGGAGTGTGAGGTTGCTGTGAGCTAGGCTGACGCAACGGCACTCACTCTAGCCCGGGCAACAGAGTGAGGCTCTGTCTCAAAAAAAAAAAAAAAAAAGAAGGATACTGTTCTCAATGCAAAGAAATGATAAATGTTTGAGATAATGGATATGCTAATTATCCTGATCTTATCATTATACATTATATGTATTGAAACATTATATGTACCCCATGAATATGTATACTCATTATCTGTCAATTAAAGACATAAAATTAGGCTGGGTACGGTGGTTCATGCCTGTAATTCCAGTGCTTTGGGAGGCCAAGGCAAGTGTATCACTTGAGGCCGGGAGTTCAAGACGGCCTGGGCAAGAGCAAGACCTGTCTCTACAAAAGAAAAAAAAATTAAATTAAAGAACAACAAGAATAAAATGGTTAGTTTTGTTATGTGAATTTCACCTCAGCTCAAAAACAATTATTCAGAAGTTAGAAAAATCACCTAGAAGACAAAGAGGCAAAGTAGTCTTTCCATGTGCAAAGTTTTACTGAAGATACTTAAAATTAGAACCTGGCCTTTCCTTCTTCTCCCTTCTACTTACCTGTTGGTATGGAGTTTGAGCTGAGAGTTCATAGGCATCAGAATCTGCTCAGGTTGGCACTCTGGATAGAAAAGTTGGAGTTTTTCAAACACCTAAAATGAGAAAATAATGTTTCTTCATTTCTGGAAAAGATAAATTATGACTTTTACTTACATATGGACTTCAGTATAATCTCAAAGAGATTACACACTAATAAAGGACAACTACAAATCAACAGTCTGCCTAACTTCTAAATAGTCTAAAATCTTCCACAATACTCTTTTCCTAAATGAACCAGGCACCTAAAAGATAGGTAGGTATTCTAGAAATGTAATGTAATATGAGCTCTGCTCATAAGGGACTGGGCATTTGGTAAAGTTTATACTTACCACATCCTCTGTGTTACTTAGATATTAGGTATAAATAACTTTGAAATTTCTAATTTTAGCTCCGTTAACCTGAGATGAGATTTGGAAACAAAGAACATATAATATTAAATTAGCAAGAAACACCATCCAGGTCTTCTACCTTCTAGTAAAGTGTTCTTTTGTCTACACCATACTGAATCAGAGAACCAAAGCCAAAATAAAGGGGAAAAAAAGAAAAAGAAAAAAAATATATCAGTTTCAAATTCAGAGACCGAGAAAGTTACGTGTCCCACACAAATGGTAACTTTTTTGTATGTAAACATCTTGGTTTGTTGGTTTATTTATTTATTTATTTTTCTTTGAGACAGAGTCTCGCTCTTTTGCCCGGCTGGAGTGCAGTGGCGTCATCACAGCTCATTGCAACCTGCAACCCCTAGGCTCAAGCCATTTTTCTGCCTCAGCCTCCTGAGTAGCTAGGGCTATAGGCGCACACCACCATGCCTGGCTAATTTTTTAAAGTTTTTTGCAGAGACAGGGTCTTGCTATGACTGAGTTTTGCTCTTGCTCAGGCTGGTCTCGAACTCCTGGCCTCAAGCGATCCTCTTGTCTTGACCTCTCAGAGTGCTAGGATTACAGGTGTGAGCCACCGCACCTGGCCATCTTGGTTTGTTTTTTAAGCCAATTTTTTTTCTATACTTCAAAATATTAAGGGATACAAATGTTTTTATTACATGGATAGCATTTATAATGCTTAAGTTGGGGCTTTCAGTGTGCTCATCACCCAAATAGTGTTCATTATACCAGATAGGTAGGGTTTTACTCCTCCTCTCCTCCCCTCTTCTTTTTTTTTTTTTTTTTTTTTGACAGAGTCTCGCTTTTGTTGCCCAGGCTAGAGTGAGTGCCGTGGCGTCATCCTAGCTCACAGCAACCTCAAACTCCTGGGCTCAAGCGATCCTCCTGCCTCAGCCTCCCGAGTAGCTGGGACTACAGGCATGCGCCACCATGCCCGGCTAATTTTTTCTATATATTTTTAGTTGGCCGATTAATTTCTTTCTAATTTTAGTAGAGACGGGGGTCTCGCCCTTGCTCAGGCTGGTCTCGAACTCCTGAGCTCAAACAATCCGCCCGCCTTGGCCTCCCAGAGTGCTAGGATTACAGGCGTGAGCCACCGCACCCAGCCCGAATCAATTTTTTTTAACATGGCTAGAGATAGGGGTCCTGTTTCATTCTTCTGAATGTGGCTATTATCCAGTTTTACCAGCACCATTTATTGAATAGGGCTTCCTTTCCCCAGTGTATGTTGTCTGCTTTGTTGAAGATCAGTTGGTTGTAGGTAGATGGTTTTATATCTGGATTTTCCATTCTGTTCCATTGGTCTATATTTCTACTTTTATACTAGTACCACGCTATTTTGATTACTATAGCCTTGAATAATTTGAAGTGTGGTAATGTGATGCCTCCAGATTTGTTCTTTTTGCTTAATATTGCTTTGGCTATTTGGGCTCCTTTTTGGTTCCAAATGAAGCATAGAATTATTTTTTTCTCAATATGTAAAGTATGATGTTGGTATTTTGATGGGGATTGTGTTTAATATGTAAATCACTTTGGGTAGTATGGACATTTTAACAAAGTTGATTCTACCAATCTGTGAGCATGAGATGTTTTTCCAATTGTTTGTGTCATCTGTGATTTTTTTCATTAGTATTTTGTAGCTCTCTTTGTAGAGATCTTTCACCTCCTTGATTAAGTATATTCCTAAGTATTTTATTTTCTCCGTAGCTATTGTGAATGGTATTAACTCTTTGATTTGACTCTCAGCTTGACTATTATTAGTATATAGAAATACTACTGAGGCTGGGCACAGTGGCTCACGCCTGTAATCCTAGCATTCTGGGATGCCAAGGTGGGAAGATCACTTGAGCTCAGGAGTTTGAGACCAGCCTGAGCAAAAGTGAGACTCTGTCTCTACTAAAAATAAAAAAATTAGCTGGGTGTGGTGGTATGCACCTGTAGTCCCAGCTACTTGGGAGGCTCAGGAGGAAGGATCACTTGAGCCTGGGAGTTTAAGTTTGCTCAGAACTAGGCTGATGCCACTGTACTCTGGCCTGGGAAATAGGACGAGAAGAAAAAAGGAAAGAAAGGAAAGGAAGGAAGGAAGGAAGGGAGAAAGAATGAAGGAAGGAAGGAAAAGAAAGAAAAAGAAAGAAAGAATGAAAGAAAAAAAAAGAAAGGCTACTAATTTGTATACATTGATTTTGTAACCCGAGACTTTGCTGAATTTATTTATCAATTCTAGGAGTCTTTTGATGGAGTCTTTGGGATTTTCTAGATACAGGATTATATTGTCAGTGAAAAGCAATAGTTTGACCTCCCCTTTCCCAATTTGGATTGCTTTATCTTTCTTTGGCCTAATTGCTCTGGCTAGGCCAGGCGTGGTAGCTTCCGCCTATAATCCTAGCACTCTGGGAGGCCGAGGTGGGAGGATCGCTCAAGGTCAGGAGTTCAAGACCAGCCTAAGCAAGAGCGAGACTCTGTCTCCACTAAAAAATAGAAAGAAATTAGCTGGACAACTAAAAATATATAAAAACAAAATTAGCCGGGCATGGTGGCGCATGCCTGTAGTCCCAGCTACTCGGGAGGCTGAGGCAGAAGAATTGCTTGAGCCCAGGAATTTGAGGTTGCTGTGAGCTAGCCTGATGCCACGGCACTCTAGCCCGGCCAACAGAGCAAGACTTTGTCTCAAAAAAAAAAAAAAAAGTAAACTAATCGCTCTGGCTAGGACTTCCAGTACTACGTTGAATAGAAGTGGTGACAGTAGGCACCCTTGTCTTATTCCAGTCTTAGGGGGAATGCTTTCAACTTTTCCCCATTCAGTATGATGTTGGCTGTGGGACTGTCATATACGACTTTTATAATTTTGAGATATCTTATTTCTGTGCCTATTTTGAGGGTTTTTATCATGAAATGGTCCTGGACTTTATTCAATACTTTTTCTGCATCTGTTGAGATGATCATATGGTCTTTTTTTTTGCTTGTGTTTATGTGGTGAATCATGTTTATTGATTTTCGTAAGTTGAACCATCCTTGGATCCATGGGATGGAGCTCACATGATCACGGTGAATTATTTTTTTGATGTGTTGTTGAATTCAGTTTACTAGTATTTTTTTAAGGATTTTTGCATCAATTTTCATAAGGGATATTGGTCTTTTTTTTTTTTTCATTGTGTCCTTTCCTGGCTTTGGTATCAACGTGATACTGGCTTCATAGAATGAATTAGGGAGGATTCCTTCCTTCTTGATGTTATGAAATAATTTCTGTAGGATAGGTACCAGTTTTTTGTAGGTTTGGTAGAATTTGGCTGTGAATCCATCTGGTCTGGAGATTTTTTGTTGTTGTTGTTGTGAGATTTTTTATTACTGCTTCAACTTCACTGCTTGTTATTGGTCTGTTCAGGATTTCTATTTCTTCCTAATTGAATCTTGTGAGGTTGTGTGTTTCCAGGAATTTATCCATTTCCTCTACATTTTCTAGTTTGTGTGTGTAGAGATTTTTGTAGAATTCATGAATGATATTTTATAGTTCTGTGGCATCAGTGATAATACCTCCTTTTTCATTTCTGATTGAGCTTATTTGGGTCCTTTCTCTTCTATTTCTGCTTAATATGGCTAGAGGTGTATTGATTTTGTTTCTTTTTTCAAAGAACGAACTTTTTGTTTTGTTGATCCTTTTCTTTCTTTCTTTCTTTTTTTTTTGGTTTACATTTCATTTAGTTTTGCTCTGAGCTTTGTTATTTCTTTTCTTCTGCTGGCTTTCGGTTTGGTTTGCTCTTTTCTAGTTCCTTGAGATGTGACATTAGGTTGTTAATTTGTGGTCTTTCTGATATAGGCATTTAAGGCTATGAATTTTCCCCTTAGGACTGCTTTTACTGTATCCCATAGATTTTGATAACTTGTGTCCCCTTTGTTGTTCAGTTCAAGGAATCTTCTGATTTCCATCTTAATTTCATCATTGACCCAATGGTTGTTTAATATCCATGCCTTTCTATAGATTTGAGTGTTTCTCTTGGAATTGATTTCTTGTTTTATTCCACTGTGGTCTTATAAGATACACAGTATGACTTCAATTTTTTGGAATTTGCTGAGACGTGTTGTGGCCTAAGATGTGATCAGTCTTGGACAATGTCCCATATGCTGATGAGTAGAATGTATATTTAGTAGTTTCTGGGTAGAATATTCTGTAAATGTCCGTTTGGTCCATTTGTTCTATTTTTTAAAAATAATTTTTTTAAAAATATGGAATGCTTCATGAATTTGTATGTCATCCTTGTGCAGGGGCCAGTCTAATCTTCTGTGTATTGTTCCAATTTTAGTATATGTGCTGCCAAAGCAAGAACAGTCCATTTGTTCTAGTGTATCATGTAAGTCCAGTGTTTCTTTATTGGTTTCTGCTTCAATGATTTGTCCAGCTCTGTCAATGGGGTGTTGAAGTCCCTGGCAATTACCATGCTACTGTTTATTTCTTTGCTTAGATCTAGTAGGATTTGCTTTATGAATCTGGGAGCTCCTGTGTTAGGTGCATACATATTTAGGACTGTTATATCTTCTTGTTGAATTGCTCCCTTTACCATTATATAATGACCATCTTTGCCTTTTTTTTTTTAAACCATTGTTGATTTAAAGTCTATTTCATCTGATATTGGAATGGCTACACCTGCTTTCTTTTGGTTTCCATTTGTGTGGAATATTTTTTCCCATCTCTTCACCTTTAGTCTGTGTGAGTCCTTGTGGGTTAAATGTGTTTCCTAGAGACAGCAGATACTTGGGTTGTGTTTTTTCATCCATTCAGCCGGTCTATGTCTTCTAAGTGGGGCATTCAGACCATCCACATTGAGTGTTAGTATTGATAGGTGGCATGCTGTTCTGTTCCCCCCATCATGTTGGGTGATACCTTATTGCTTTGTTTTCCCTCTTGAATTATTATTTTAGAAGAGCTAAGAGCTTTAACTTTTGGGTGTTTTTACACTGGTGGGTATCTATTGTACTGTCCCATGTATAATGCAGTTCTGAGTATTTCTCGTAGGGCCGGTCTAGTAGTGACAAATTCCCTTAACTTGACAAGTTGTCTTGAAAAGTCTTTATTTCTCCATCGTTTATAGAACTTAGTTTTTACAAAATTCTTGGCTGGCAGTTGTTCTGTTTACGAAGACTAAAAATGGGGCCCCAATCTCTTCTGGCTTGTAATGTTTCTGCTGAGAATTCTGCTGTTAGCCTGATGGGTTTTCCTTTGTAGCCGCTGTGCCCTTGGCTCCTCCCCCGAGTCCCCTCCACTGCTGCAGGGCCCTGTGGCTCCATCCCCAAGGCTCCAGTGCTGCCACTGGGACCCTGGACCCAGCTCCAAGACTCCCTGCTGTCGTAGAGCCCCACAGCCATGCTCCTGGGGCTTCCACTGGTTGCCTGCTGAGAATCGCCCAGTGGTCCAACACTCTGCCAGGGACCCGCCAGTCTCCAGCCGTATTGCACCTGGACCCTGGATGAAAGTTGTCGTTTTCATCTTGCAGCTTGTAGAATTTTCTTCATTTTGACTTTGGCCAAGTTGATGACTCTGATGCTTGGAGAGGTCCAATTTACTACGAATCTTCTTGGTCTTTGTTGACCATCTTGTATCTGGATATCTCTGGCAATACCAGGGAATTTTTCCTCAATAATTCTCTTGGATAAATTTTTCCATGCTTTTGCTTTTTCTTCTTACTCATACATATATGTGTGTGTATATATATATATATATATATATAATCCATATATTAGTTCGCTTCACATAGTCCCATATTTCTCTGAGTGATCATTCTTCTTTACTCTCTTTTCTGCATCTTTGACTGACTGGGTTAGTTCAAAAGCCTTGCCTTCAAGTTCTGAGATTCTTTCTTCTGCTTGGTTTAGCCTGTTGTTGAAGCTTTCTGATGGATTTTGAAATTTCCTAAATGACTCTTTCATTTCTTTAAGTTCTATTAAATCCTTTCTTATGTTGTCTAGCTCTTTAGCAACTTTTTCATTTTTTTAATTGATATCCCGAAATATCTTTTGGCTTCTTTTCGTTGACTTTCAACTTTCTCTTCAATTTTTTTCATCTTATTTGCCATTCATATTCTGAGTTCCATTTCTGACATTTCAACAATTTCCTTTTTTTTTTTTTTTTTTTAAGGGTGGTCAAGTGGAGCAGTGGAAGTGGAGAAGGAACAAAGGAATCTGTAACAGGTTGCGATCAATTAGTTGTAAACCCCACTGCACTCGGACCAACCAACAATTTCTTTTTTGTTGAGGTTCATTGCTATAGGTTTATTGTGATCCCTGGGGATGTTGAACTGTTTTGTTTTGTCATGTTGCCAGAGTTCTTTTGCTGGTTTCTTCTCATCTGAATCCTCTTCTCTCAGCTCAGGGCTGATAGGTTAGCACACCTATTCTCCATTGCTGAAATTCTCCTACTTAGTGAAAACGAGAGTTTCCTAGATGAAGCTTTTGTGTCCTACTCTGGAAGAATGACCCAAAAGGGAGGGGTGGGTGCACTCAGAGCCTGTAATGCAGCTGTTCTGTTCCCCTGTGATTGTCACAGTTTTAGCTGGTGCTGGATGATCTTCGTGTGGAGTGTTGGGTTGTTCCCCCGGCTGCTGTTGGCATCTCAAGTTGGGGGCTAGGCAAGACCCTCTCCAGAGAGTCTGGTGTTACGAGGGATTGCTCTGCCCAGCTCTCCCTATGGAGGTGACAGTGGCAGCTGGGTGGGGCTATCTAGGCAGTAGTTGTGGGTGTACAGGCTGTGGGTGTTTGCTCTCCAACAGGGTCCAGGTGCGATGCGGCTGGAGGCTGGTGGGTCCCTGGTAGAGTGTTGGACCACTGGTGGTTCCCAGCAGGTGGCCAGTGGAAGCCTTAGGAGCATAGCTGCAGGGCTCTATGGCAGCAGGGAGTCTTGGAGCTGGGTCCAGGGTTCCAGTGGCAGCACTGGAGACTTGGGGATGAAGCCAGGGCCCTGCAGCAGTGGAGAGGCCTCAGGGGAGGAGCCACAGGCACAGGGGCAGCAGTTGAGCCTCCATAGCGGAGGCTCTAGCTTGTGGGCAGTGCTGGAGCCTTAAGAGGTGGAGTCTTGGGGCCTGGCAACTGGGCTGAATCCTTGGGGGGTGCTGTAGGACCTGGTGCCAGGGCTGGAGCCTCAGTAGCAGAGCCTTCGGCCCCATAACTTGTCTTTTGAATTTAAAAACAATAGGACCACTTAGCTTTTAGCCTAAGATCATCTGTAGAAACTATTCATACTCTTATACCTTACCAGAAGTTACTATTATATTTCATTCTACCTGTGAATATATCTAAATATACTATATCATAATATCCACGTTAAGTGAAGCAGCTCAGAAATCCCTCTCTAGTTATTGAGGTGTTCATATCTTTCGTTCATAGTGTGGGGAGATAAACGGAGTATGTGTGCTAAAGTTTCTAATGTCAATACTATAAAGAAGCAATTAGCAGGAATGACAAAGATCTAGGAACCATAAACCTGTTTCAGGAATCCCTCTAGCAATTCTCTATCTGTATCCAGACTACACTCTTCATGGATGATAAGAGAATATAACTTTCTTCTCCTTGAAATACAAAAATAAGATTTAGGTTTGGGAACTTACCAGGATCTGAACTTCATCAGACAGTTCCAAGAAATTCCCCTCAAACTGCCCAGAGGAACTGTTCATACAGCGGACAGTGACTTTAATACTGGTCCGGCCAGCTGCTTTTGTGTGGACAACCATGGCAAAGTTATTCTCTAGTGGAAGCTGTAGAAAAACCTAAGACAGCGAGGGGATGAATTAAGAAATATTCATGAATAAACATTTCCCTTCCTTCTTTGTTTTTAACAATAAGGAAAATGTAGGTTGGAAATAGCTATCTAGAAGAACTAGAGTACAAGAGCATATTTTCATAGCTTTTGTTTTTGTTTTGTTTTGTTTTGTTGTTTTTTAGACACAGCATCTGGCTCTGTCACACAGGCTGGAGTGCAGTGGCATGATTATAGCTCACTGCAACCCAAAAATCCTGGACTCCAGCGATCCACCCACTGCAACCTCCCGAGTAGCTGGGACTACAGGTGTGTCTCACCAAGCCCAGCTAATTTTTGTTTTTTGTAGAGATGGGGTCTTGCTATGTTTCTTCAGGTGGACTCGAACTCCTGGCCTCAAGCAATCCTCCCGTCTCAGCCTTCCAAAGTGCTGGGATTATAGGCGTAAGCCACAGTGCCTGGCCTTCATAGGTTTTTTTTGCATATTCCCAGTACCATAGTCGTCCCTAAAGTTAAACCTTTGTTTGCTGGGTTCAACTAACTCTGGCATGCCTCCCTGAGATTCTTTCTTATGTTATCTCAGAGTCAATTCATTGATAGGAGAATGGAAATGATGGAAGTGGTTTCTAAGATGGGTTCAGACAGTAGAACTTGAGATAGGCAAGAAGTAAGGCCATCTACCCATGGAGTTCAGGGTTGTGGCAAGAAAGAATAAGGTCAAGAAAGAGAAGCTACTACTTTAGGACTATTCTAAAACTAGCTGACCATCTCCCCACTTGCTTCCGTCATCATTCCAGTCTGGACTGGATAAGGAGGATTAGAACTTTACAGGCTTCTGGTAATAGGGAAGGTAGGGCCAACACTAAGGCAAATATTGAAGTAGGTACCTGCCTACCTTTTCAGCAGTCATTTCATGTCCTATCTCCCTTGTCTTCTTGCTGTCCGCAACCCTCAAGACCTTCCCTTCTAGCTCTCTTTTTTTTTTTTGAGACAGAGTCTCGCTCTTTTGCCCGGGCTAGAGTGCCGTGGCGTCAGCCTAGCTCACAGCAACCTCAAACTCCTGGGCTCAAGTGATCCTCCTGCCTCAGCCTCCCAAGTAGCTGGGACTACACCCATGCACCACCATGCCTGGCTAATTTTTTCTAGATATTTTTAGCTGTCCAATTATTTCTTTCTATTTTTGGTAGAGACGGGGTCTCGCTCTTGCCCAGGCTGGTCTCGAACTCCTGAGCTCAAACAATCCGCCCTCCTCGGCCTCCCAGAGTGCTAGGATTACAGGCATGAGCCACCGTGCCCGGCCCTTCTAGCTCTCTTGACTCACAATAGAGTCCCAAGTTCCAAAATCACCTTTCCCTCCTCTTCTCTGTAAAAACTCCCATTTGCTTTGTGTAGATCTCAATCAGTTTTCTGGAAGAAAGTCTCATGCTAAAGAATGAGTGGTTTATAATTGTTTAATCCAAGTGAATCTCTAAATGGTAGCATTTCCACAGTGCAGGAAATCTACCTTGTGGAGCACAAAGAGCTTTCTATTGCCCTTTTCATCACCCAGTTTGTCTGTGCTGGGTCTGAGGCAGGAAAAGAAAAAAATTTCTAAGGCTCTCAATTATTTCTTCTGCTAGAGAAAACAGTGATACTTTAGATAGGAAAACTGAAGGAAGGGAGAAGTAGAAAGCCTAGGCCATTCTCTCCTTTCACAAAACCCCTATTTGCTATTCAAGAAAAAAGCCAAATCCCTATGCTACATAGTACCTAAGTACAGTTCCATCCCTCCTCAGTTACAAGTATAATCAGGCTCTAGAAGGTCCCTGACAGATAGTAGATCCAACCATCAAAGTTTTCCTAAATTAGAGATTTAGGATATTTTCAGAAAGATTAAAAATATATATTTTTTTACTTTTTACATATTTCTCTTTTCTTTTTAGCTAGCTCCAGAAATATCCTCTGAATTCCAGCTCTTATAACCCCTTTGTTCTCTCCCAAGGCTTAATTCTAATCCTTTGTTATCATTGGCACTGAATTGTGACCGACTTGGTATCCTCGCCCCAGGTCCCTTTTTCCTAAGGTAAAGCCCCAGATCTAGGTGGTTGCCACTGTCCTCAGACCACTTTGAATGGGTTCCATCAAACTGATGATCAGGTAACAACGCTGTGAACTAGGTAAAGTTTGTCTGCAGTTTACCTAGTTTCTACCAAACTTTGTTTCTTTTTGTCTTTTTCACGCTTCATTCAGTGTCAGGTTTAATGCTATGTGCGTGAGAACATCAAAGCTATTTTCAGAAAAATAAACTCTTAAGTTGAATTGTGGATTTCCTCAATGTCCATGCTGAAGTCTTTTGTGGTTCCAGACACAGCAAGTACTGAACTGGGAGGAGCCAGTACCACCAGATACCAAAGGGAACCATGAGGGACAGTTTAATTAATTGTCCTTCTTAAATTTGCCATTGATATAAGGCACCCAGTCCAGTTGGTGGGCAATGAATGACAGACCCATGGCACCCACAGTGCATGACATGCCCTCTGTGGGGATCCAGTTCTTCTCCAGCTTTCAGCGGGGCGGGCCCAGGAGCCTGCTCAGCATCACAGTGCCATCTACAGCCATCTGCATCCACTTTTCTTACTGTGAACATCAACTGCCCATCATGCAGCAAAACATGATTATAAATATAATTAAAGATGTGTCTGAACATGCTAAAAGATTATATTAAATATTTAAACTCTATGTATATATACTTTATATTCATAAGGTATACTTTACTCATCTGACATAGTCATCTGCTCACAAATACAACACGTGTAATACTGACGGAAAGATTTCTTTTGAGAGCTCTTTCCAGCAAAAAAAAATATTAAAAATCATGCAGTATTACCTGAGTACACAAATTTGGATTCTTCATGTGCTTTTCAGGTTTCCAGAGTTCACAGAACAATAGGAAAAGGAGGTAAGTAATAATACTGTATAGTTTAGAAAATGAGTCAGTCTAAAACTTATGATGAAATAAAATAAATTTAATATCAAGATCCCAAAGATAATATAATAAACAGGTAAATTCATACCTCTGAATGCCTGGGCACTAAATCCAATACATCCCTTTTGCTCATGGACCAGTGGAATGTAAGCCCAGGGTTGGCATTGCTAAAAGAGAAAGGGGTCTGAGTACTTGTCACTCCCATGACATAAATTGGCATCTGAAAAGAAAAAGTGGTATTGTGCTACATATCCTGCCCAACTGGCATTATCAGAATAATGAACCCAGAACAGAGCCATCATACTGACCTCAGTAGCTGTGATGAGTCTAGTTGCAGCTGCAAGGATCCTAACAGCCCTTAGCTGAACAACTTCAATATGTACTTCATCCTGCTCAAAAGGGTGAAGAGAAAGTGTAGGCTAAGAGGAAGTTTCTGTGGGGTGGACAGAGATGCTTATCATAACTAGCTTGTTGTTTTGGGCATTCAATAAAAAACCTTACAACATAGATATATTTGCTTTTGTTATTTAAAGAATTCCTTAAGGATGGGCACCATGTCTTACAACAATGCCAAGTACTCTGTGGGTTTTTCACTAAAGATTATATATTTTCCATGCCTGGTTAAGAGAATGCCAGGTGAGAAGGACTAAAAGATTTTTCCTGGGTTGCTGACACCCCCCTCATCACTACTTCCTCCCCAACCCCCCAACGCCCGATATGGCTACCGATAGAAGAGTAGAAGCAGAGCAGAGCAAAGAAGCAATACCTGGGAAAACACAATGACTTTGCCAGTATCTTCATTTACTGTCTGGATGGTGCCATGGACCACAGCTGTACCAATCACCTTCCCCGTAATTTGTCCCCTCCTATTAACAACAGCCACAGTCTGATTACTGATGGAGAAGTGAATGATAGATTGGGGCTGAGGACCACCTTCAGACAGTACCTGGAATTTAAACATACCATTGAATGCCTGGAACATGGGGGAGAAGTCACATCTCTTTTCCCAATATTTTGTCCAAGCCACTTGACTTCTTCTTCCCCCACTTGATTTCTTCTCCCATTTCCCAAACAGCCTATCCTACATCAACTCAAATGTAGAAGACCTGGAAGTGCTGCAAATGATCCATGGGATTCCAAGAAATACTTTATATGATATACATCAAGGGTCAGGAAAAATACTAATTTTATTTTATTTTTTTCATGTCAGAAAGGTAATGTACCGACATCCTGACAAGGTTTGAGGGAGGCACATCTCACACATGTGCATGAAAATCTAATCATCAGCTTATGAACTACAAAAGGATTTAATTTTTTTTTTATCAGATCCAATTGTACTTGGCTGAGAATAGACAGAAGGAGGCCAATAGGAAGAAGGGTGTGTGTTTATGTGTGTGTGAGTGAGATAAGGAGAAAAGGTAAATCTTATTTTTCTGCCTTTAAGATCACCTGCATCATGTTAGTTGGAATCAGTGTCATTTTCTCTGGAACAAGTCTGAATGGAGGAAACACCTTAAGGAGAAAACCAAAAGGACAACAATGACTAACTAGAGTCAATTTCACAATAAATGATTATGATCTCATTCTAAGGAAAACTCCTAATTATGCACAAAAAAGTTAAACACAAGGATATGTATTTTTATTTTATTTATATATAAAACTTTTATACATAATATACAAAAAATTCAAAATTATTTAAGTGGGAATACTTAAATAAGTTATTATATATCCACTTGCTGGAATAAAAGTGACCATTAAAATTATGTTTATAGTTAACTTTCTTTCAAACATATATAAAAGTAGAGAGAACAGTGCAATGAACTCTCAGGCACTCATTACCAGCTTCAACAATTATCAACACGTGGCCAAAAATTAGCTTTTAATGATAGAAGTAAATACTTTTGATATGAGATGAAGATGAAAAAATCAGTATGATTTATTCATGTTAAAATAAGCATGGGGGCAAAATGTGAAGGAAATACACTGGGATCCTTTTTGTGTTTTCCAAATCAATTTTTTTTTTTTTTTTTTTTTTATTTAGAGACCAAGTCTCACTCTGTGGCCCGGGCTAGAGTGCCGTGGCGTCAGCCTAGCTCACAGCAACCTCAAACTCCTGGGCTCAAGCGATCCT